AAGTCAGCCAAAGTTGCCACGCCTCTCCTGGGCTAGAAGGTCCCAGTCTTGACGAAGGCGAAGCCATGACTGACAGCAAGACGTTTTGGCTCATAAATGTAAAGCTAGGCCTAATAACCTACTAGGGTGGGAGTGGATTCTCCGTCTCCGTGCTGAGAAAAGGCGTTCAGGTAAGACAATCCCCTTCCCCAGCACTGGAGATGGAGAATCCACCAATGGGACATACCAAAGCTAAATTGTCCCTAAGGAAGGGAATCAAATCTGCCCAGCGACGCACTTTGGGATAGTACCTGTTGCAGAACCCTCCTGCCAAAGGACGCCTCTGCCGAGGCGAACCTGTCAATTTTGTAATGCCTAATGAAGAATGACGGAGAGGACCATGTGGCCGCTTTGCAAACGTCTTCAATGGATGCTTGAATAGCCCAGGCTGCAGAAGTAGCCGCATTACGGGTGGAATGGGCCGTGATGCGCCTTGGAACCGGCACTGAATCCACCCTATACGCCTCCGCAATACAAACCCTGATCCACCTGCCAATCGTGGAGGATGACACTTTCCTACCCCTGGAAGGAGGATGATATGAAACGAAAAGGGCTTCGGTAGAGCGGAAGACAGCTGTCCGCGAGATATAATAACGAAGTGCTCTGCAGACATCCAGCAGATGCCACTGCCATTCCAGATCATGTGAGGGATTAGGACAGAAATCTGGTAATACAATTTCTTGAGTCCTATGAAATAAGGAATTTACCTTTGGAACAAAGGTTGGATCAAGACGAAGTACCATTCGGTCACGGTGAAAGATACACAAATCATCTCTAGTGGAGAGAACAGCTAGTTCGGAAATCCGCCGCGCGGAGGTGATAGCCACCAAAAAGGCTACTTTGAGTGATAAGAATCTCAACTCCCAGGTTTTGAGGGGTTCAAAGGGCGGATTGGTAAGAGAATTGACTGGAGCATTTGTATCTTGAATTTTCTGTAAAAAAGATGCCGGTTCAGTCTTTTTAGATCTAGGATAGCTCTCCATCCTCCCGAGGCCTTGGGAACGACGAAGAGGATAGAGTAGAATCCCCGATCTCTCTGATCCAACGGTACCGGTTCTATGGCCCTTATGTTTACGAGATGCTGAATAGCCTGTTGCATCGACCTTTTCTTTGTGAGATTCCTTGATAGGGGACAAGAGAGGAAGCGATTTGGAGGGTAGGTGAGGAATTCTAGGGAGAGCCCGTGATGAACTGTGTTCAACACCCATGCGTCTGTGGTGGTGACCTCCCACTGGCTGGCAAAGAGAGAAAGTCTGCCGCCTATGGGAGGGACCATCGGAGAGTCATCTGGAATAACAGAAGGGCCGACCGCTCCCACGAAAGGGCCGGTTGCCCTGAAATTGTTGTCTGGGCTTAGAGCCCATTCTGTCCGATTGTCTGTCCTGTCTGTCCTGTCTAACAGGAAAGGAGCGGGGCAGATAGGAATAAGTGGACCTAGTCCCTGAACAAAAGGACTGCCTCCGTGAGTATGTGTTGGATCTTTTGTCCGGACGTTTAATAAGGTGATTGAGGACCTTACACTTATCCTTATTCTCTGTAAGGTAAGGATCTAAAGATTCCACAAACAGCTTCTCCCCCCCCCCCCCGATAAGGGGCTGCTGACAGGCGCCATTTGGACCTGGCGTCTGCATGCCAGTGTTTCAGCCAAAGCATACGACGACCAGTAACCTTGGAAGCCATAGCCCTGGCTAAAAATCTGGCCGCCTGCAGTGTTGCATCGGAAGCATATTCCGTTGCTGCCACCATCTTGCTCAAATCCTGGTGGGTTCGGATATCTTCCACCGGCATTCTGGCCTGGAGCTGTCTCAGCCAGCAGAGAGCAGACTTATTGAAGAAAGAGGCCGATGTATCTGCCCTAATAGCCCAAGCTGTAGCTTGGTGTGTCTTACGAAAGGTGAACTCCTTTTTACGATCTTCTGCCTTTAGGGCATCAGACACATCCCCAGGAGTGGCAGTGGGAGATACCAGGGGTCCCAAGGGTTCATCCACCTTGGGGACCTCTAGGGCATCTGCCAAGTCCTGGTCATGTTATAGAGTCTTTTATCACAGCCACTTGGGATGAGAAGGGAACCTGGGGATTCCCACTGTTTCCTGATCGCATTCAGAAACATAGAAAGACATGGTATGCAGTGTTGTGTGGTTACCGGTTCAATAAAGTTCAGATCCACCTCCGAGTCCGGAGCCGCAGTCGAAGTTGATGTACAAGACTTGGGACCAAGATGGGCTGTGGAAGTGGCCTTTCGGAGCAAGGGAACAAAATGAGACGGATTAAAGAGACCCGTAAAGGATGGCATTTCAGGAGGGTCTTCCTCCTGGTCCGACATCGGAATCCCCACGTCTGCATCATACTCACGAAAGGATGAACCCTCAGAGTAAGAAGATTGTGAAGGTGAAGTAGGTGCACCATATCCCTCCGTCGTTGGCTGGTGAATCGGTAGGGGAGAAACCGAGGTAGCCCTAGGTACCTGAGATCTAGCCTGAACGGCGCGCTCTACCGCCTGAGCAATCAACTCATTTAGATGGTCCTCCGTGGGCAAAGGAACCGGCTCTGGTAGTCTGAGTCCAGCTGCTGTGGGGGTAAAAGTGGCTTCTGGGGCGGAATGCAGAGCCCGCTGAGCCACAGGCTGCAAGATGTGTTCTCGATGAGATGAATCACCCGGTAGAGTGTTAAAGACTCTGTCTCCTGTGGACCAGATTCCCAGAGGGGAAGTGGAGGGTCCAAGTGGTAAATCAAATGAAGGAACTTCAGCCTGAGTGGCTTCAGTCCTGGTCTGTTCTTGGGCTTTAGAGAATATCCTCTCTAATGCCCGGTGTCTCCTACTGGCCTATTTTTCCTCCTTTTTAGATGTTTTTCCTGCAGATCTAGCCTTGGCTTTAGCCTTGGCCGAAATCTTACCTGCCGCCTCTTGGTTGGAAGATTTCTGTCGTTTTGAGGCTGATGAGAGAGGTGAAAGTCCCTTCTTGGAAGAGCCAGATTCTTCCATCCTCGTGGATTATCACAGAAGCACAATTGGGTACTCCTGGTATCCAGAGGCAGCTGTCTGTCTACTCTGGATAAGCACAGGAGCATGATAGGGTACCCCCGGAATCCAGAGACAGCTATTATTGTCAACTTGGATAATCACAGATGTACAATAGGGTACACCTGGTATCCAAGGACAATTAATTTGTGGATAGCGCAAGTGCACGATAGGGTACACCTGGTATCCAAAGATTGCCAATTAGTGGATAACACAGGTGCATGATGGGATACACCTGGTATCCAGGGACTACTAATTTATGGATAACACAGGTGCACGATAGGGTACACCTGGTATCCAAGGACTGCTGATTTATGGTTAACACAGGTGCACGATAGGGTACACCTGGTAACCAATGACTATTAATTTGTAGATAACTCAGGTGCACAATGAGGTACACCTGGTATCCAGAAACTACCACTTAATGGATAACATAGGTGCACGATAGGGTACACCTGGAATCCAGAAACTGCTATTTTGTGGGTAAACCCAGATGCATGAAAAGGTACACCTGGAATTCAATGCTGCTATACAGGGAGAATCAAGGACCTACTGTGTGTGTAAATAATACTTAGTGTATATGAGGAGACACCAGTTCAAATTCTGCTAGAAGGAGAGTGTTACTAAGAATAACTGTTTTGAAAAAGGATTCAGTACAGGCTCCAAACAAAAAAAACAGATAATCATGAAAAAGAACTGTTAGTTCTCAAAATGGTGGATTCAAGATGGCGGCCGATGCGAAAATGAAACTCACTGAGACTGTTCAACAACAGAGAATGGTGTTAGATCCACAAAATGGCGGATACAATTCTTAACAATTATTTGGCCATCACTATGCGTCTCTGAGCCTCCCTATAGGATCCAGAGAACTCCTCCAACGAGAAAATCACTAAAGAGCTTCAACGGAGCAGTCGAAGCCTCTAAAAAGCAAAAGGAGCTCGCCTGCCTCTGTTGCCCTGCTTAGCCGCCTAATTGAACCGCCAGCCAGCTGAAAAAAACCCGTTCGGAGCAGCATGTGCTCAGCCGGCAACAGGGGCTGCAATAGGGAAGCAATGATCCCTCAGCCGCCCAGAACAGCCCTTAAATAACAAGAAAGGGCAAAAAAATAGCGTTTTAAACTGCTGATAAGCCTGCCTGCTGATTAGCACTTCCACCACCCCCTCTTGAATCATAACTCTTGGAGCTGCGTTCCAGACCCCAATCAGGGAAGGAAACTAAAGCAAAATAGAAAGGACAACTATAGTTGTTCCTGGAGAATTATTAAATGGAACTGAACTTAATAGGAATCCAACAGAGAAGGTTAGGGAGGATAGAAGAAAACGAAACCGAAAGACAACAAAATGCAGAAAGAGAAGCTGATCCCAGCCTCACTTTAAGGTTAAGAGGGGAAGGAAGGGAAATAAACAGCAATCTGACTCAAGTGCTGAGCCCAGCACTGATCAGAAAACTATTAAAGTCAAGGAAAGATGGAAAATCCACCAATGGAGACTATACCTGCCTAAGAGCCAAACTTTCACGTCTATTCATGGGCAAGATCAAGTCAAGACTGGGACCTTCTAGCCCAGGAGAGGCGTGGCAACTTTGGCTGACTTGATCTGATTGGGCAGGAACACAGTCTAAACCCATTGATGGATTCTCCATCTCCAGTGCTGGAGAAACATTATGTTAACTAGGAGCATAAGTTAGACAACACTACAAGGACTTTTCCTTACCAGCTGATCCCTTTCCCTAGCAACTGATATTTACTGTTTCTAAAACCTCAATATCTTTTTGGGTAGTAGAATTAACAATTATTTACAGATGCATTTCTAATTATTTGGTTTAATCTTTTAAAAGCATTTAAGTCAAATGGGCATGACACCAGTTTAAATCATGGATGGGCATAATACCAATGTAGGAAATTATGTAAATTGCACACTATGTGAAGATTCCCCCACCAACCTGCAGGTGTTGTTTTTTGAATTTTCGGGACAATAGTGATGACAGTGACACCACAGCTTCTTCTGGGCAGGAGCAGCTGCTGTGCTCCCCCCGTCTTCTTTCCTAGCATCGATGTTTCCTTTCCCAGAATTCCTCAAGGACCTGCTGTCTAGGAAGTTTGCTATACAGGAAAAGAAAACAACCATGAAAATAAGGCTAATAAATGTTTATGTTGCTATGAATTAGAAAAGGTTACAATATTTTATTAGTGAGTACATCTGTCATTTGTGTGTGTATCTGAGAAACATTCCTATTAAAGATCCTTTCCCAGGTTTGACTCTGGCATCCTTGATACTTACGATATTAAGGGTATTGTTTCCACTGCCCAATTTTTTGAAGCTGAGGGCAGTGGAAACAAGCTGATATTTTCAGAATATAGAACAAAAATTCTGTATGTTGCAAGAAAGTGAATTAAATTTAAATAGTTCTTCATTTCAAAAGACTATCTGATGGGTTGCTATAAAGGGGAAGCTTTAAACTTTTCCAAGTTTGCATTTCAAAGTCTGTGGCTAGCTCTGAGGGATCGTCTTCTGATACTTTTGCAACCAGGAACTGCACTGTGACTTACCAAATTATAGTAGAAACTATACAGCAGCATTAAACATAAAGCAGGTGAACATGATAACAACCTTTCTAGATTTAAGGCAATAGTTGATTGCATATATGAATACAATATGATCTTCTAGGTGAAATACAGATAGATCATATTTAACAACTGTCTTGTTTAGTGACCATTTGTAGTCACCACAGAGATGAAAATGTAACTTTCCAACCAATCCTTGCATTTATGATTGTTCAATATCTACTCTGAGTCAATCTTCAACGAGGCACTGGAAAACATCGATGCTGGCACCAAAGTAAACAGTGTTTGGATCAACAATTTAAGATATGCTGATGATACAGTTCTGCTTGCCAGTAAGCATGAAGACCTTCAGCTCCTCATCAACAGAGTCACAGAAATTTCTGAAAAATACAGCTTGAAGCTTAATACCTCAAAAACCAAGATCATGGTCGTCAGCAAACAACCCGTTAATTTACCACCAATAAATTCAGAAGGAATACCACTAGAAAAAGTTGAAAGGATCATGCACCTCATTTCTAATTTACATGAAAGCTGGGACATGACTGTTGAAGTAGACAAGGATAGAAAAAGCTCGAACAGCATTCTTCAAAATGAAAAAGGTCTTCTGCAGTCACGACATAAGCCTAAGACTGAAAATCAGGCTTGTCAGATGCTATATTTTTTCTATCCTGCTCTATGGAGTAGAGAGTTGGTCTCTGACAGAAGGCCACCTGAAGAGACTAGAAGCATTTGAAATGTGGATTTACAGGCGGCTGTTACGTATAAATTGGGTTGACAAGATCAGAAATGAGAAGGTGATAAGCTGCCTGGGAAAGCCAAGGGAAATCATCAAAACAATTAAAAAATGAAAATTAGAATATTTCGGACATGTGATGTGACACTCAGAAAAATACGGCATACTCCATTTAATCCTCCAGGGAAAGATTGAAGGCAAACGAGGTCCAGGCAGAAGAAGAACACTGTGGCTTCAAAATCTAAGGGACTGGTCTGGAAAAAACTCAGCAGCACTTTTTTGTGCAGCTGCTGATAAAAACAGGATCGCCAACATGATCGCCAACGTCCAATAACGGATATGGCACAAGAAGAAGAAGAAGAAAGCAAAGGAAAACTGAAGATTATAAGCCCAACTTTGGTTTCACGTAATGATCACTTTGCTTAATGACTGAGTTGTGGATCCCAATTGAGGACTACCTGCATTAGCATATTCATTTTAGCTTTCTTCAATCAACTAGTTGTAAAACTAAGTCCTGATTGAGGATGCTTTCAATGCAGGCTTTAGACAGAAACTTTTTTAAATATCTCAGCATAAGAATTTTTGAAGTCTCACATCAATACAAGTAACAGATGAATTTTTTTTCTAACTCTTTAGCACAGTGGAGAGCAGAAAATATTAACAGTTACAAATTTGAAGTCTGATCTTGTTTTATATATTGAAAATGTATTTACTTAACAAACGTATATGTTGTCTAAACCATAAAGGTAGGTGGCTTATACATTAGCACAAGCAGATTTCTTATTAGAATAATAAGATAATAAATCCTCTCTAAGGATTTTTTTATATAGTACTTCTTTTATAAAACTTCTCTCACACACAATAACCTGCAATGAATTAAGTTTTGCATTAGGGCATTTTAAATTCCAACCTACAAAAGAGGACTTTTATATCAACAGATGTTAGCTTTTTAGGTCAATGGAACAGAGCCTTTTAAAACTAAAGCTCAATTTTCAGCAAATAAGCACAAAACTGGGATTGTGACTAACATTGTTATTCATGGACAGAAGTCTGACTTTTCACAAATGTTCTAGGCAGAGGTTTCAGACATCTGGCAAAGCGAAATAAAAAATATTAAAAATTATTAATAATGAAGAATAAAAAAACCAATGATATACATGCCTTATTTAAAGATGTAACTATTTTCCACTTTTCTGAAAATAATAGAGCAAGCAAGTTCAATCTATCTTGTATATAACTTTCTCACGCTCACAATCATCACTAACATTTAGGAACTCAAACTAGTCAAGATTAGGCACTTTTTAAATCTTATAAAATTTAAAGCACTCTTTAGAAAGTGATTTACCAGAGCAACGATAACTAATCTGTAATTTAGTACAGGCAGGTCACTGACTGTAGCAAATAATCTCTGACTGTAGCAAATAATCTATAATTCAGACTTGGCTACTAAACTAAAATAGTTCTTGTAAAAAACAAAGAAACAAAAACACCATATGTTAGGCACCATCTAAAGTCTAGAGAAGAGTAGCTACTGGAAAAACATATTCTGAGGGTTTTTTTTTTTTGTTGTTAAGGCAATTTCTCAAGAGAGTTCCCCTGATGTTCATCCATCCTTACATTCAGGAGACAGTTATAAGTTTGCATGAATAATTTTCCAGCTGATTAATTTAATAACAGAGCCCTTATTGTGTTAACATTTTTCTGTGTGGTGTGCTGTACCGATTATGATGGTTCGTTTTAATATGGTCTCCAGTTTTCTGGTTTTATTTATTTGTGAGAATTCTTTTCATGATAGCACAACAGACTATTAATTTTAACATAAGAAAACAGGACATGTAATTTTCTTGACAAGGTAGAGAAGCAGTATCAGTAGGAGAGAGCCTAAATCCACCAGCTTAATGTGGATCCTGTTATAATGGAAGAGAATGTTTTCTACTGCAAATCTTAATGACTACAAGAAACAACAATGAGTTTTCACTTAACATAATCTGCCAAATTCACTCCCAAACAGTACAAATATTTCTGCTTTCCAGAAATTCAGAGCAGCTGTTAAGTTTGGTTATAGTGGAAGCACCCTGGCTTCCAAATATTCTAACAGGAATTTAGTGGTATCTCTTTGTTCTTTTGGCAGACCGCCAACAAACTCAGAACAGAGGTGGTTGTAAGAAGAATTGTTTAAGGCCATACAAAAAAGTGCTGTGTCAACTAACTAGTTCATACTTAGCTGTAGACAGAAGAAAAAGAATCATATATCAGATCTTTTAATTTGCTTTGCAATCTATAAAGCCCTATCTGTTTGCATGGATGTATGTAAATGTTTATATGCAGAATTTGGAAATCTCAGAAATGGAATTAAAATATAAAACAAATGCTTATCTATAAAACATGGCAATTTAACTGAAGCTAGGTTACAGGGACTGTTCAGACATAAAGAAACTAAGCACAAAGAATTAGAAGTGGCTTTTGTTATTACTTCTGCACTTTTCCACACTACAAGGAGAAAGAAAGAACTGGAATCAGATATCCTACATTTATCTAAACACAGGATCTCATCAATCCTATAAAGAAATTACTGAAGCGACATCAGGTTTCCTGTGCTCTAAGTACTTGGTTTATTTTATCAGTAGAAAACCAGCAGCATTGCTTTTGCCTGATGGAAATACCAGATTAGTGTAAATTTAACAATATTTTAGCTTCTATTGGAGAACACTGTGTACAAGAAGCATATCTTGAAGGCCGGTGGAGAGTGTGAATGGGGGCTAGTACATACAGATCTGAACATCAGATTTAGAAGGGATATTGATAAAGTAGAACATGTTCAAAGGAGAGCTACCAAACTAATCAATGACCAGAAAAGAAAAAAATTATATATGATTGGAGATATGTTTAATCTGGAGAAAACTGTGGAAGATGGGATAGTTGTTTCCAAGTATCTAAAGCAGCGTTTCTTACAATGGCAACTTGAGGATGTGTGGATTACAACTCCCAGAATTCCCCAGTCACGCATTTTGAAGCTGCCAAAGTTGACAAACACTAATCTAAAGAGCTGGTACATTCAAAAAATAGGCAGAATAATCCGACTTGTTCAAGCATTGTAAGAAACACTGTATTTAAATTAAAAGGCAGTACATGTTGATTGGATATCAGGAAAAAATTTCCTAATGAAAAAACATGTTCAACAATGGAAAGGGTCACTTTTGCTGGGGGTGTTGCAACTGAGGGTTAATGGTTATAGAAAATTGAATTAGGAAAAAATTAGGAAAAAAAAAACTTATCTAAAAGCGTCCCCCAAGTGAAATTCAACTCTTGATGACTACATCCATACAGTTTTCCTAGCAATGTTATAGATATATTTTCAAACTTCCCAGCTTTAACTTTACAGTCCTAGAATTCCAAGGCAGTCCCCATTCAGTTACTATCCTTGGTTGATTCTGCTTAGCATCTAAAAAACAGCCAAGGTCATCTGGGTGCTGCAAAAGCTTGCTTCAAGTCATAAAGTCATAATGCCACCATGCATATTTTTTTAAATAAATGCTTCTGACCTTCTTTCCCCTTCCTCCAGGATATTCTCTGATATATACTAATATATCAAGAATATATAATTCTTCCTTTAAAAAAACTCTTCCTGTGTAAAAAAAAAAAACCCTATAGTACTGGCCTTGCCTATTTACATTCATTTTCCATTGACTTCTTACAACCTTGCCAAATCTCCATCCCCAATGAAAATCACATGACCAGACCGTAAAACTACTGTGCTGCTGCTAAGGGGGTTTCCATTAACAAAACAGAGCACCGTATGTTGGGT